TATCACATCCGACGGGAGGAAATTCAGCAGCTCTCACTACCGATTTTTAATCCTATTTTAATCATCATCTTCACCACGATCATTTATGTTTATGTTCGCCGAATTCACATGAAAGCACTGAGAAATATGAATATACTGTAGTCAACTTAATTAAAACGTTATTAACGTGCCTAAACTCAGTAATTCACCATTTCTATGCATGACAACACACTTTGTCCCTGTTTGGCTCTCTCGCCGCACAGTGAAGCGTTCCGTCATTGACGTCACTTCCGGCTTCCCCCAAAACTTCAAAATGAGTCGAAGGAATTTCCCCGCGATGTTCGAAATTATTGATATTTATCGGAACAGTATCGCACCTTCTTTTTTAAACTGACGGTTCGAGATTACTAGTAGCCCGATATTTCATTGCACAACAGTTGTTGGAAGGCTGTCACAGGCTCTCTAAAAAAACACTGCTTTATTATCTATTTTAAATCTCTGAAATGGCATCATCATTTATAGTTTATATTTATAGTATTGAAAAAGATTTAGCCCTAAACTACCGATTGAGACCATGAGCTCATAAGGGAAATGTCCACTGAGGTAAAATATGGAGTGGTCATTTCTCCCGTAGTTTCTGAACAATATGACTTCTTAGTGCAACGAGTGGAGTCACCCCCTGCTGGCCATTAGAAAGAATTCAGGTTTAAAACCTCAGTTTTGGCTTCAGTCTTCAAACCCAGAGATTCTATGTTGGTAGACAGCCTTTTAGGAGATGAAATAATGACTTCATCCATTTGTCAAATGTCCCCCAAATGATCAATGTCCTTCAGAAGGTTTCAACTTTCCTCCTCTTCTACCTCTTCCTCCTCCTCAGTGACTACATCCTGGTCTGCAGTGTCGGCCATCTTCCAGCTCAGAGCCCACTCTCTGCTGGGCCCCCCCTTCCCTCCATGCAGTCCCCTGTGTCTCAGGGTGCGGTGCTGGGTGGAGAAACTCACCACCGTGTCCTCTTCTGGCTTCTTCCAGCGACAAATCCTCCACGACTCTTTCCAAGCCTGCAGCTCTTCCATCTCCCCATCTTCCTCCTCCTCCTCCTCCTCCTCTACATCTCCCGATCGGTGGGGGAAGGCCACCATCCACGAGTGCTTCCAGGAGAGGAAGGAGTTGTTGAGTTTGTGGAACTGCAGGTGGAGCGGGACATCAGCTGTCTGTTTGATCCGGGTCTTTACTTTGTTCTCCAAGATATCATCTTCCTCCTCTTTCTTCACCTCTTCCACTTCTGCGTCTTCGTCTTCATCCTTTTCCACCTCATCTTCTTCTTCATTTTCCACCTCCATGTCCTCCTCCTCCTCTTCACCTCCTTCTTCATTTTCCACCTCCATGTCCTCCTCCTCCTCCTCCTCGCCTTCTTCTTTGTCCTCCTGTTCCTCCTCTTTCGTAACTTCTTGTTCTTTTTGCTCTTTTTCTAACCCTTCCTCTTCCTCTTCTTCCTCGCCTTCTTCTTTGTCCTCTTCTTCCTCCTCTTCCACATCTTTGTCATCCTCCTCTTCATCTGCTTCTTTCTTTTCTACTTCCTTCTCCTCTTCAACACATTTTCCCTCCATGTGTTCCTTTTTGACTTCATCCTCCTCTTCCAAGTCTTCCTCCTCTCCATCTGTCTCCTCTTTGTTCTTGTCTCCAGCTTTCTCTAGATGTTCTTCTTCATTCTCCTCCTCCTCCTCCTCCTCCTCCTCCTCTTCCTCCTCCTCCTCCTCCTCTAAGTGTTCTTCCTTGTCCTTCATGTCTCCTTCTTCCTCTTTCTCCTCCTCATCTGATGCTTTGTCCTCACCATGTTGGTGTATGTTCTCATTCTTTCCTCATCCTTAGCAACTTGTTTGTCCCTGTCCTGATTGTTTCTCCCTCCTCCTCCTCTTCCTCCTCCTCCTCTTCCTCTCCTTAGGCACTTCATTATCCCTGCCTATGATTTCTTTATTTTCCTCCGTCCTGTCATGTAGTTCTTTGTCCTGCTCCTCTTCCTCCTCTTCCTCTTCCTCCTCTTCCTCTCCCTCCTCCTCCTCTTCCTCCTCCTCCTCTTCCTCCTCCTTAGGCACTTCATTGTCATTATCCCTGCCTATGATTTCTTTATTTTCCTCCATCCTGTCATGTAGTTCTTTGTCCTGCTCCTCTTCCTCCTCCTCCTCTTCCTCCTCTTCCTCTTCCTCCTCCTCCTCTTCCTCCTCCTTAGGCACTTCATTATCCCTGCCTATGATTTCTTTATTTTCCTCCATCCTGTCATGTGGTTCTTTGTCCTGCTCCTCTTCATCCTCTTCCTTTAGTACTTCTTTGTCCTCTTCATCCACATCTTCATCATCATCCTCTTCTTTTTCGTTCGCTCTCTTGTCCTTGTTTTCTTCTTCATCTTCTTCTTCACTTTCCTTGTCCTTATCCACACCTTTGTCCTCCTCTTCCTTACATAAATATTCCTCTTGGGTTTTGTTTGTTTCGTTATCCTCCTCCTCCTCTTTGTTGAATCCTCCATCATCCTCTTCCTCCTCATCGACTCCTTCATCTTCCTCCTTATCCTCTTCATCCTCCTTCTTGTTGATTTCTCTGTGTTCCTTCTTCTTGTGTACTTCTATGTCTTCCTTGTCTTCTTCTTTGACCTGCTTTTCGTCCACATCTTCCTTCTCCTCATCCTCATCTACTCCTTCGTCCTCCTCTTCCCCCTGCTCCACCTCTTCTTCCTCCTCCTCCTCCTCTTCCTCCTCTACCTCTCCTGCCTCCTCCTCCTCCTCTTCCTCCTCTACCTCCTCTGTATCATCCATGATCTCCTCCTTCCCCTCCTCCTCCTGCGTCTCCAGTTCTTCCTCTTCTGGTTCTATCCATCTCTTAGGAATCCTCCAGGCGTCTGTCCACTCTGTGCTGTCCGTCAGCTCTTCGTCCAGCTGTGATGTGAGGAGGGTGTTTGTGGCTTTACGTCTCCTGGTCAGCCTGGCGCTGTGTCGGTGTTGGGACTGTAGTGAAGCCCTGCACCACCTGTGGAGGAAGTCATAGTTTCAGATCAGTCTGATGAACGGTAAAGCATTTAACCACGGTCAACAGACTGAAGAGTAGTGGAAGGTTTTAGAATCTCTGGTCACTTTGACCTTCAGTAATAAGAGGTTGAATACATATCCCAGAAAAGCCATATGATATTATATGTGCATATATTATCTCTTATTGTAACCAATGTCAGAACCCACGGGCTATTTTGTCTGCAACAATACGCCTCATTAAGCAAGACCCCTGCTGTTTCGTAATTTGCGTTCTTCTACATTTGCTGTTTTAGGTGCATAAGTGTCTTCCAATGCGAAGTATGGACAAATGCATTCGGGAAGGTGACAGGCTGCCATTCTTTGGGAATGGAATCACCAAATGGCACCATGGCAACAACTCAGCTATTCAAGATTCAGGAGTCGCCCAGAGTCACCACATTGAGGGCTTGAGAAATGTTGTAGTTTACACATGGAGACAAATAATCACTGTTTGGTTTCCATTGGGAAACAAAAGCAGAGCTGTTAGCTCCAACCAACTCTGTCAAAGTCGTTCAAACTAATGTGAGAAAGATCAATAGTTACAGGTAACAGCTCCCCATTTGATGCTATTTCAATTTAAAGACTTAAGTGGACTTGAAAACAATGAGTGGAAATGAATGAATTTGTTGTTCAAAGAGGCCTCAGTATGTGTGAACATGACTGAGTACAATGCTCACAGGAATACACTGTCATACATGAATTGTTCATAAAATACCATTGTGGTGTAATGCATACTGTAAATAAGAATTGGAATTAGTCAATGTGATGTCACGTAATGGTTTGTGTACCAAATTTTAGAAACATTGTTTTTGGCAATTTGGTGAAGGTTTTTTTAAGCGATCACAATTCAAAAATTAACCATAATTTACTAAATACACTCTGTCAAAGGATTACAGTAGTACAATGACAAAATGTGAGCAACACTCAAACCTGAATATGCTCTAATAGCAACCTGTCAATCACATGGCAGCCCCCCCCCTTAAGAAAAAGCGTATTTCTTGTCTATTTCAATCTCTGAAATGTGATCATAATTTATTAAATAAAAATCTTGCAGTATTGAAGAAGACTTCTTCTAATAATTAATAATTAAAACACTGATATATTTGATGTTGTATAAAGTAACAACACATATTTCTCTACCTCTCTCTGTTCTGCTACATCCTTTTAGTTTTTTTGACCTGGCTGCTTATTCTGATATTTGAAACTGCCAACAGATAAATGTAAAGAGGTTGATGCCTGAAAGTGGATCAACATTAGGCACGGGACCCTTCGCACCAACCTGATCTGCTGACTGTATCCCCAGCAGGAGTTCCAGTTCTTGTGATATTCTTCTTCTTCCCCCACAGGAGCTGCACCGAGCAGCCAGGAGTCGCTCCAGTCAGGCAGGAACACGTCATGAATCCTCGTCATCAATGTGGTTTCAGTGCTGGGGCTTGTAGTCGGGGTCTCTTCTTCGGTCATGTCTATTGGTTCAATTTCTACCTCTGACATTTTCCATGACTCCTCCCAGTCTATGGGCTCCTCCTGTTGGGTGATCACCAAATATATAATTAAATAACACTAATAAAAAGGGGGTCATCATCTGCATCAAGCATCCTCTGACCTGAAATGTTATATTTTATGTCTGAGTTTACTTGTGTAAGGCCAACAAAGTTAAAAGAGCGAAAGAAAACAGGATCATATTTCTTGTAAAGATGTTGATCCCCACCGGTTCCTCTAGTTGTTGTACTTCGTCAATCTTGTCACTGAGGGTTTCTTGGTAACTTGGCCAGATACAATCCCACTTTTTTTTCTCCTGTCTGAAGGGAAAGTTTATGAACTTCCATGTGCCAGCCCAGACAGGAAGAATGTAAACTAATATCTCAGCTTTGCAAACCAGTTTCCTTTCAAGCAAAATCTCCCATTGGAATGGTTTCTCCTCAGAGCACTCCAACTGGACAGGACTCTTCACCTAGACAAGGGAACAATGAAGACAAAAGATGGTTTTATAAGTGCTATTGGTCTCTTCATACCTATCGTACAGTTGTCTACCCTCTTTTGAGTTTGGGAGGTCATTGTTGAATCAACTTTATAAGATATACAGCAGGTGAAATCAACAGGAACCCTTTATCAGATTCACTGACTATCCTTTTAATATAGTTTTTTCATAAACATGTATTAAATTATTTCTAATAATCTATTCTCTTCATTTTATAGCTTTTCTCTGTGTTGCGCTCGGTTGCGCCGCGTCCAGTAATGGTTGTTAATGTTGGAGCTTTCATACAATCATATTAAAGTCAGAATGTGTTGCTGGCTCAAAGTAATCTGACCTGAGGCCAGAATCAACAGCGCGGGCCGAAACTGTTGCATTGACCAATCAGATTTCGAGTTGGCGACACCAGGCCATCTAGCAGGCGTACGATGACGTCGGCATTTTCACGTCCCGATTGGATTGTCCGCTCTAGCAAACACTAGCGTGTGTAACGGTAGCTACTGGTAGCGACCTGCTGGCACAGCATATGTAGTGTCCTTAGCAACCTGCATAAGGTAAAATATTTGCGTTTAAATTTAAAGCTGTTTTTTCAACCCAAAATGGCTGACAGCAGAGGATACATTTATTTGATAAAACTAGCAAGCCTGTCGCAGCCGGGGAAAGGGTTTGACCCATACTTGCCAACCCTCCCGATTTTCGCGGGAGACTCCCGATTTCATTGCCCTCTCCCGGTTTCCTCCCGGGGTAATATTTCTCCCGATTTCTGACTAAATCAGATTTACTCAGGACTGTTTCCACTCGGACTTTAATACAGCTACACCATTGTTTGGTTTCCATGGTAGCACGTCTCTTTAGTAGCACGCGCAACTGAAAGTCTGAGAGGGTGAGGCAGATAGTCACAGAAAACTGAACAAGAATCGACAACTCGACCCTCTGCTCACTCTTTTCCTGTAAAATACAGGTCCAGTCCACACATATGCTCCATCAAGGGTGGTGCTACACAGGGCCGTTTCTTCCTATAGGCGGACTATGCGGGGGCATAGGGCCCCCGCGGCCATTAGGGGGCCCCCAAGCTGAAAGTTTTTTTATTTTTT